AATGCCCTGCCCGTCCGCGATGGGACGACTCCGCCCTATAGCCGCGGCGACACCCAACTTTCATTTTTAACTGCTGATAGGATTGTTTCGCTACCACTATCTCCATTTCGAAAGGAGAGAGTGAGGTGATAAGGAGAAATAGCTCGTCAACAAAAGAGAACTCGTCCCACCACACCCTTTTTTCGCCTTATGCACATACAAGCGCGACTCAGCATGGGTTTCTATATGGGGCACTTCGGGAGGATTTTCAGTGCTTTTTTGACTTATTGTTATTTGCCATAACATTATTTGAGCCGCACAAATCACCATTTTCCAGCGTGGGGCGTGCTTTTGACCTTTTATGTGTGCTAGGGTTTTCTCTTAGACAGTCTCGCGTTAGGTGATCAAATCGAGATTGAGTCTCACGGAAGAGTAGCAGGATTTCAAAGAAATGTGTGCAAACTTCCAGGTTACAATGGGAACACTGCTAACCGAAATAGTGAACGAATTGAAGACGATCCCTGGTTCTGAGCATTTGATGTTCGCCGTGAACGCAAAGAAGGTATGTTTGTGGGATCATCACCGATTTATTGAGAGCTGATAATCACTCACTGGGAGTTCTTAAGACCACCAGAGTTTTCTTCTCTGCTCACCATCAGTAGAGGAACCATAGAAGATTTATATCACACCGTACGCGTGAACGATCAGTACCAGTGCTTTGGTGTGAGCGTACATAGGCTCTATAAGAACCTAAAGATGTCTCCAAGTCTGAGAAAGGAGAAAGCCGAATCGTTTTTCGTTTCATTGGATTTATGGGTTCTTTGTCAGGTCAAAGATTACTACGATATTATCAAAAACCCAATGGATCTGCAGAAGATTAAGAGTAAAATTGCCGATAATAAGTATGAACTTCGACAAGAATTCCTATCCGTGAGTGTTTTACTGTTCTTATTCCTTCGAGAAGTAAAACTAAAGTAAGAAGTATCAAAATGCTAAAATACTGTCTCTGCTTTCAGGATGTCAAGCGAATGCTCGATAATTCTCGTCTATACAACGGGGACAATCATGTAATAACGGATGCTGCCAAAAAGGTCTGAGATGGCATTTAATTTAATATTGTATTATATATCGAGATAGCTAGGGGAGGGGTTCCGTGGGTAATGAGAATCAGATTTGAAGCTACGAAGGGGTGGTCTGTCAGGACACGTCTCCACCGTTGCCTCAAAATCAACACTCTTGTACACCTAATCAACTTCAACCCCCTCCTCCGCACGCCTTCACTATGTTATGTTTTCCAGGGTGGGCACGCCGATCATAGAGAAAACGGAAGAGCAACCTCTTGAAAATCCTGTACACAAGTCCTCATCAACGCTTTTGTGTCCGATCGCTTCACCAATGACACTTGAGTGCAAGCCTCTCGTTGAGGGCTCCACAACGATCAGGCAATCAGGGTTCATTTCCATAACCTCTTTCTCTCCACTGGTTTCGGCAGATCCTCCAATATTAATGCATTTTAACGAAGATTTCTAGATTATCCCTCAGTCAGCAGCTCAGCTTTTGCCTTTCGAAATCGCTAGAATACTTGTGACGTGTTCCTTAGGGTTTTTCGGCACTATTCAACTATTACTTACGCCGCAGAAGTTAATAATATTTTCTGCTGAAAACTTTTTCATAGAAGTATTCGCGGTTTCTTGATCACGAATATAACACTCGTTTCTTCACCGCCGCCACTTCTCTCACCGGAGTCGATGTAAATTTGCACAATAGGATTACTTGATGTCCTGATCACAAATACCGCTTGGTTTCTCCCATTTGGCGCCATTGAACGCTGGTTTGGCGCCACACCCTTTTCCATGATAATCGATAAAAACCTGCATAATGGGGTTGTTTGATGCCCTGATCACGAATATGACATTTATTTTTTGACACCAGCGCCATTTAGCGCTCTTCTAAGGCCAAGGCTGGGCCTGGGAGTAGGAGTGGTATACCCTTCGGGCCATGCTCTGCCTTAGCACAGCGCAGATGATCTTCACGTCTTCCATCAGCGCCAGCGCCAAAAATGATAATGTAGATAGTTTTGTTTTCAAGATGTCGAATAACCTCCGTATACAAGTTTTCAGGTGGTTTGGTGGCTTAGGATATTTTGGCGCGGGCGCCAGGCGGTTTCAGGACGACCGAATGTGATATTCGTATTCGGGAGGTCAAACTACCGTGCGTACAAGGTTGTTTCAGCGCATTTTCGGTTGGGTGATCTAGGGAGTTTTGGGCGCCGGCGTATTTAGCGCTGGCGTCAGACAGTTTAAGCAACTACGACGTGATTCGGGTGTTGCAGGAGGTCGGAATATCCCTAGCCTGCTTGAGGCAACATCTACCTCGTAGAAAAAATCGATCAAGATCCGGCATATAATATTTGCGGAAATTTGGAGTAGAAGTAAGAAGTTGGATAGTAGCCGGGATTTCTTCAAGGAGAATTTTATTCGTTCCAACTATCCTCTCCTTTGAAGATGTTCGAGCTTGCTTCAAAGCGATTGGTGGAGAAGGAGCAGCAATTGATGAAGTTGGAGAAGGCGATTAATCCCCTGTTGGATGATAACGACAGAGTGAGTTGTAGCTCTTTTATTGCTTTTGTATTCTTGTTATCGCTATTTTTTTATCCTTGGCTTTTAACCGACTTTTTCAATTTACAGTACATTCAAGTGAAAACTCTAACCTTAAATATGGATTGACCAGTTGACGCTCTCAACCAGTTTAGGTCGGATTCGGTTTTGTACTCGAAAAAATCGTGCAAGCTTGCAAGAACATTCCGAAGTCTGTTCCGTTTCATACTCGAGTGGATGCTAAGAAAGTGAGTGGTCCCTGCCAGTTGTTGTTTTTTCAAAGTTCTCATGGTCATTAACCGTAAAAATTGAACAAAATTCAGGTTCCGTTCTACTACCAGAAAATAAATCGGCCAATGGATTTGGGCACAATAGAAGCGAACGTTAAGGCGTATAGATACGTTACTGTTCAAGAATTCCGTGAGGATGTTCATCAGGTTGGCTGTTCATAAGTTTGACTGTTTCGATGCCTTTTAAAGTAATTGTAAGTTGGCTGAGAGATAAATGATTACTCAAGGTGCCGTCCAGGATGATAATTTTACAGATCTTGATCAATTCGGAACTATATAACGGTCCTGCAGAGAAGTCTTCGTACACTGCAAAAGCTACGGAAATCGTTATGCTTGCAGATAAGATGCTCGCTGATCATGCTGTCCAGGTATCATTGATGTTCTTGCTCCGAACTATCTTCCTGTTAATTTTGCTGATTGATTTGATTTAGTTGTCGGAACTAGAAGCCAACATTAACGGGTTTGATTTGAACATAGGCGAAGTTGAGCCGGAAATCGAGGACGCTATGGCAAACGATGGTGGGTGCAGTTTCGGTCTGCCAGTTTGAAGTTTTACGATATAAATTCCTAAAAAATCGAGAAAAAACAACAATGGTAGTTGTGGAAGTTCGACTAAAAAATATCGAACT